AGACTGATTTAGCAGGAATGCAACTCAAACTCTGTGAGTCTGAGAGTGTGGACATTGGGATTGGGCTTCAAACTCCATGATGCAGAGAAGTAAGGGTTTAATGGCTGTAATGATGTAACTGCACAGGAAGAGGCCAGCAGTAATGAAAATTAGAAAAATGTTGCAGTAACTGTCGAAATAAACACTGGATTGATTCAAATATGATTTAACCATAATTCTGACATAAAACACGAAAGATCGTTACATGATTCTGAATAAAAATCTTCCAGTTGGTTCTAGTGTTGGTTTTTATTTATCTAAAAACAGAAGAAAAATGAAGGCAAGAAATAAAATACAAAGAAAAGGAAGATGAATGGGATGTAAGGATCTGTACTTATGCCTTACCTACCTCCATTAAAAGCTAACTACATATTTAATGAAATACATATACAAATACAAGACAGACTACTCTCACATGCTTGGGGCAATTAGCTTAGCCTCGCATAAGAGCAAAAGAAGGAGCAAGTGTTAATCAGGCAGTTTCTGCTGGTGTAAAGATACACACCAAACACACATGTGTCATTATACATACTATATATTCTATTATACATTATAGCGTGACATGGCTTTAGTGAGGCTGACACACCTCTTTATCAGAACATTAGTTATAGTAACAGTGTAGGTACAGAAGCTGATACTTCTTAATCATACTTCCCATGCTCACTCTTTTTCAGCATATTACACACATTGATCTTCAAAATATCTCCACAAATTAATAACAGCATTTCTTTTGTTTTTGTTCTTCTTCTTCTCTCCCTGTCTCTCCTGCAGGCAAGCTATCCCTGGAGGAGTTTATCAAAGGTGCCAAAAGTGACCCCTCCATCGTTAGGCTACTGCAGTGTGACCCCAGCTCGGCCTCCCAGTTCTAAAACTGCCCCTACTGCAACCTTCTTTCTTTTTTTTTTATCTACAACTTTGCTCTGTTGCTCTATTGAAACAGTCAATCAAATCAATGCATGATGGTTCTCGTCTCTGATATCTTTCTGTTGTTGTTGTTACTGTGTGCAAGGATGATAGAGGAGGATAAGGAAAGTCGTCACTGTCATTTTACGTTTATGTTTGGGAGAATGAAGGGACTAGGTATGACTGACAGAGACGCCTGCTAATGTTCCATAATATCTGTCTCTCTCTCTCTGGAGCGTTGGATTTCCAAGGAGCTTGTGACGGCGTGTGGATGTTTGTTTGTTTTTTTCTTTTTTCCGCAGGGAGAGGAATCAGTTCCTACTCCTACACATATGCACATGTAGATGTACATCATGTATATACTGTATGCTTGTATATCATAAGATAAAGTGCATCTGTCTTCATATAGGGGCGCACACTCTTTGCCATTGAAAGGCAGTATTATGTAGCGTAGCTTCCTGGTGGTCCATCTGAATGGGCAGTTTAAGGGGGGTGGGATGGGGGCGGGGCTACTTCTGTACATCAGATTTCTTTGATTTTTTTTTAAATTTAAAATGCTTTTTATTTTCCTTTTGTACATACTGTTTTCCTCCTTCATGGTTTATTTATTCGGTTTTTATTCTCGTTATTGCGCTTTTACTTTGATAATATCGAGATGATCAAATTCCAGTTTACAGTGACGGAGAGAGAGAGAGACAAAACTAGTCAAGATTGACCTCTTTGTGGACTCGAGCGGAGGAATTCCTGTAAAATAACGGGATCCCATTTGTTGCATTTGATCAATGACACCAGTAGCACATATCAGTCGAGCCGCCATTTGTTTATATAAAGTATGGCTGTGCATTTGGGTCTGAATGCGTGCGCGTGCATGTGGACACACACACTGTATGCTTGAGGCTAACTTTTACAGTATTATCTTGTTGTGTTGTTTCTTAATTTGTAAGTATTTTAAAGTTCTTTAACGATGAGCAGTAAACTTAAGATAGCTGTAACTGTTCGCTATACTACTGCATGATCCTTCGAACCAGGCGACGACAGAATCCACAGACACAGTTTACGCACAGCGGTAACTTTTTGTAGCTCTTCAGCCTCCTCAGCATGGACCCCAGGCAGAAATGATTCGATATTTGTCTTGCTCTGGGACAACACGGGCCTCCTACCCCCGCGCTCTCTTTTCCTCTGACAGACCGAGAACTCACTAAGGGCTTGTTCATCGCTCTCTAGCCTAATGCTTTTTTTATTATTATTATTTTTTAACCTCCTGGATTAGTCTGCTTGCAGAGCAGTTAGATGAAGGGACGTGTTTCACAAGATTGCAGCGAGTCCGGAAATGTGTTCTAATTTGGATCTGTTTGATCTTATTTATAGTTAGAGCAGAAAGAATGTTGAATACATTTTTAAAAATTAAAAATTATAAACTTGTCTCCTGTATCAGTGACAAATAAGTATTGTGCGTTGTTGAGGTTTTAAAAAGACCAGATGCAGTTGTGAAGAAGACCTGAACCTGAAATAAACATAGTCACTGGTTGCAGCACGGCCAGCACCGTTCTCCTTTATCACGCCTTAAATGCCCCGATAGTCAGATCACTATTGCCCTCTTGTGTTTTCAAGGTAAAACACACACACTCAAATTGAAGCAATGGGACAAAGCTAACAGAAAATGTGTGGATATGGCGCATAAGGAAGTTGGACTCAAGGATATCAGTTTGTCATGATGGATTTTGTCATCATGGGTGTCGTGATGAGCAAAACACAAAATCACGTTAACGGTATTTCAATATTTGTAGAAAATAATGCTCTCGGTCACATTTTTTGTCTTCTTTAATGAACACAGCAGGGAGGAGGTAAGAATGTAGTCATGAATTCATAAATACTCAAACAACATTGATATTTTATTTTTAAATATCAGGATTATTGTTAATTCAAAGTTAGCATGGCACCTCTGGCCTGTAATATTAGTTTCAATGGTGTGTTCTGCAGACAGAACGCCAACACGTCGTTGTCTCCTTTCAATTTTATCTTGACATCATTAGCCAGAATTTAGCTAACTTACTGAATTACTGTAGCAGTGGGGGCTGAGAGTCGTCCTGGTGCTGCTGCATCTATGTGACGTTTAACTAGTACCAAACACTCGCACAGGAGCTTCCTAACCAGCCGCACCTCTGCTTTGGGGATCCTTTAGTGTCACTGCCTTCTGCTGATAGGATAAAGAACAACAGTTGCTACTCTCTGATCTATTACAGTGTAATCCTTTTCTATTCTCACTGCCTCTGATGAACTGGTACCTTGTGTTGGATAAATACGAACCTCCTTCTTTCTTCCTTCCTACTTTTCTGTTGCATGAAAACCTCGTCTGAGGATGTCATGTTTATTCTGTTGAACCTGAAATCGAAATATATGTGTTTCTAAGCTGCACGTGTGCACTGCGTCCTCATTTGTGGTCATTTTGGATACGTGTGGAAAACGTTAAAACAGGAGTCGACATACAGTCTGCTTTTGTCTTAACTGGATCGGACCAATGAAACTGTGAAACTGCTTAGAGTTGTAAACCACTGACATTGTTATCAATTTAAAACATTTAATTATCTTAATATAGGAATAAGAAGCCCAATTTTAACATTATGTCTCATTTTGTCTACATGATATAGAAATGTAGAATGCAGTTTTAAAGAAAAACATCTGCTAGCATTAATCTTTGGGCTTAAATTACAAGGGGAAAAATCAGCAGAAAAAAATAGGTCATTGCCCAGACGGTCCTCTAATTATGGAGCAGAAAGATTTTTGTTAATTCACATAAAATAGCCTTTTTTTTTGCAGACCCATTGTACAAAAAAAAGAAAATCCAACATTTATGCCTTTCTCTCCTTTTTTTCAAAGCAGCCCAGTCGACCGTATTGGGAGTCTGTGGTGGCCCAATTCTGGTCCCCGAGCCTTATGTTTGAGCAGATCGTGTCTGATCTGACAGCTGAACTGTAATATATTAAAAACATGACATATATATTCCATATATTTCAGGCACTTCTTGACGTGCACCTGCAGATGGTTTGTACCAACCTGGCTAAAAGTCATGCATAACCAGTCCTACCTGTCAGGTCACTCACGAGCTGCTGGCGTTACCATGTGCTAAAAATGTTCAGAAACAAAACACAAAACAATGGCGTGGTTTCTTGAATAAAAACTTTATTTACTTAAGAAATAAAAAAAACAGCATGTGCAGTGCTAATTTGACTTGAGCTAAAAGAAGAAAACAAAATGCATTTCATACCCTGTTGGGCAAACCTGAGACTATCCTCAACAAAAAGAGGAAAAGGATTGTAACACCAGGAGAGCAGCTCATTTACATCCCAACAAAGTCAGAAGAAAGAATATTTTCATCTTGTTCTTTCCATTCTGTTGGCATTGTGCAAAAGAACCCACCAAAAAACCCCAAAATGAAAACATTTTGTGGTCAAATTTTGGCGTGTGTGAAATACTGAGCTTTGAATTGTGGTAGAGATTTCAGTGTTGGAGAGCGCTAACTTCCAGATTAGCCCTGCTTCATGGCTTTATACTGGGAAAGTGTGAATCGAGTTTTAAACAGGTCCGAACAGCTGACATCACAGCGGCATCGGATCATTCATCCAACACTTGGCAACAAACTGACCAGCTATTTCTCATAATCCCACTCAGACCTGGCACCGTGTCCTCTCTTTGCAGCATCTCTCCTGATGTGCATATTTTGTTCAACACGATGACAAGAATGAGAACTGACAAATTCCCATAACTGAGAAATAATCTGGACCTCAGAATATTCATAGATCACTTCCTCTTAAAGAAACATCTTCATCTGAGGCCAGAGCTTTAAAGTACTGACAGGTTATGAGCATGAAGTTTGACTCCAAGTACTGTAGCTGGAACCTCATAAGTCTTTTTCTGGCTCTTCGAGTAGATCTGCTGCGTTAAATAATGCTATATCCAGAAGCTGGACCTTTCCAGTGCACCCCTTTGCAAGAGCCGGTGTTGCTCCGTCGCCCTTTGCTGGCTTCCAGCTCTTGTTACTTGCCTTTCTCTGTCTGATCTCACTCTGTGTGGCTGGCGAAGAGGTTGTCTCTCCGAGGGAGGAAGACTGTGGTGCTGACGAGGAAGATACTGTGGAGGGGTGGGAGTTCGGTGCTGGCGTTGTGGAGTTGCTGTG